TCTAAAAGTGCTCTTGGCTCTGAGAGCACACAGGTTTTCGGCAGATTCCAAAATGGGGTGTCTGTAGGGCCTAGAGTTGAAAGGTTTACGTCATTCAGATGGTCACAGATGTTTGTCAAGCTAAGTCAGGAACTCATCCTTCTTGTCATTTATTCTTAGGATTTACTTTTCCTCAGTCTCAAAGTAAGTAGAACTTCTACCTCAAGTTCAGTCAAGTGCTGCAAGGCTAGTCCTCTGGAAACCCAGTGAGCTCCACTCCCTCTTCTGCTCACATGGTTTGACAGAGTATCTTGTGAAGGCCATGGCTGTGATGAATTTGATAAGATATACAAGACTTCTGTGAAGATTGCTAGGAGTATTTGAAGCCATTGCACGTTGATGCAGAAATTAGAGTGATGCTAAAGCACGGAGCCTAGCCTCTTTACCTGAGCAGCATTTGCAGATGTGTGTTGTCAAACATCCGTTCTAGGGCTCTGTCTGAGCAGGAAGTACTATTGTTTATCATTTTTGGCCAGAAGAGTTTTCACCATGGGTAGCCTTCGCAGTTCCCAAAAGATGCTTTCAAAATAGGAATTCTTTTTTTTTTTTTTTAAGATTTTTATTGGGGAATTGGAGGAGAACACTGTTGGGGAATCGGGGAAGGGGAACAGACAAGTTGCTGTGCTTTTGTTCTTCAGTCTAGCTGTGGAGACGTCATTTAACTGGCCCATGTTGGTATTATCATTGCACTCTTCCCCGCTGAGGCAGTCGCTCACCAGCCGTTGGACGGCCGCTCATTTCAGTTCTCGCCGGCTGCCAGCCACTCAGGCTGTCTGCCAGCCAATCATGGTATCTCACGGCAGCCCACTGAAGCCGCACTGCAGCCAACGCTATCGCCTGTGACTCACGGCAGCCCAGCTCCAGGTCAAGCTGTTGTTCACAATCTTAGCTGTAGAGGGTGCAGCGTCACTGGCTAATGTGGGAACCGAACCGGTGATCCTGTTGCTCAGAGCTCGCGCTCCCAAGCCAACTCTGAACCAACTGAGCCACTCGGCCGGCCCCAAAATAGGAATTCTTGAATGACATCAGCACACACATACAAATGAAAGCCAGTCAGTCATTTATCTAGGTGCAAAATAGAAGGAAGTAATATTGCCATCCATTCCAGTTTCAGTGGTCGCTTTTAAAATATTGAAAACATAGATGATTGTAGAGTGGATCGCCCTGTTCAACAGAAGGACTGCTTTCTCCCCATGTGCCGCTTTGCAAACCAGCTTCACCATCTGGGGGAGGTGGCTTTTCAAGGTCCCTCCGGTAGTCAACGTGTTGTCTTCCCCCTTTGCGACGTGATAAGCAGCCTGTGGGCGCTTCCAAAACAAGGCTGCTTGGAGACGACCATGTTTTAGTTAGGTAGCCTACTCATAATTAAGATCCTGTTTGTCTGAAGCATTTGTTGTTTGGAACGTTGTAAGGCACTCCTTGAATGTTGTTGACATGAGTATCTATTGGCACTTTCTATGGGTAAGCTTTAGTTAGTCATGGCAATTATAAAAGTAAACACAAAAGATTTATGAGCGTCTTCAGACTTCTTCCCCTGGCATTTTCTGATAGATAAAAATAATCATATTGGCAGGATATGTAGTCTTCAGCTCCTGTTATTGGAAAACTCCTGGATATCATCATGCGGCAAGGAGGATGACAGTTTAATATTTGACCATACAGCATCTAATGTGGCAATAAAGATGATTTCTTATTCGACCACATATGTTAGCATCCTACGCTCATTTATTTGGAGTGAAATACAGCATTTTTTAAAGTAACAGGAAAGAAATTAAAGAAAAAATATTTCCCAACTCACAGAGCACAGCAGTGGTGAGAGGTCTCAAAGTCATTTACTTTAAGATTGGTGTAAGGAATAAGGACATTTTACATGGATGAGATGGCATGATCTTGTTTTTAAGTATTTAAAAAATTATAGAAGGGTAATATTCTTTTATGTAAGTCCAGAGGGTATAGAAGGACCAAAAGATGAATATTATTTAAAAAGGCCAGTTTCCGTCAATATAAGGAACATTTTCTAATGTTTAGATCGCCCCACCAATAAAATAGGCTACTTTACAAAACGTTCTCCTCTTGAAAGCCGTAGCATCAGGTCCATGCCACCATCACAACACCTAATCGGTATTGTGACTTCTGTTTAATGCCTGGCTCCTTATTTATTTGCCTGTGAGGTCGTTTACTTAAGGGAGACAGCTGGAGCACAGCTTAGAATGTGGGCTCAGGAGTCGGGCTGAATGGGCAAGTGTGACCTTGGGCAAGTGACCCAACTCCTATCTTGTGAAATGGAGGTAACTCTCTCCTTTTATAGGAATGTTACAGGAATCAAATGAGTTAATCGATCACTAAAGTGCTTGATAAGTACTAGATGTTAGGCGCTGTCTCCCGTGTGGTCAGCACCTGTGCCGAAAGGCAACCATGAGTGCTAGGAAGAAGCTGAACAGCATTTTTCAGGGGTGGTGTAGAAAGATTCTCTTTGATGGAGAGGATGGATGGATGATAGAATTTCCAAGGACCTAGAGATATGACTCTCAGAGGGCAGGAATTACGGGTAGAGCCATGTGTGTGTAGGGAGCACAAGCCCCATACTTGTCGAGGACTTGCCTTTCTCCCGAGTTTCTGTGTGGCTTACTCTGTGGAAGATACAGTACGCCTCACTAGAATGTTCTCTAGCTTCATTTCAGTGCTTCTGAACAGGTGAACTCACTTTTCGGTTAACTTGTTAGGTTCTAAAAGTTGTCTTTTCTTTTTTGGTTCACTTGTGCCTTACTAATAAAATCTCAATCTATAATTACTTTATTTACAATGATATAAGACACAAACATTTTGTGAACTTTATCTATATTCCAGGATGTGTTCAGTATGTTTATGGTGCCGATTTTATTAAAACACAGAGCATCTGATTTCTAACATTTGTGAGGAATTCAAATTTGTGTTGGTTGATGGTCAAGAGTGTGGCCCCTGGCATCACACTTCTTGGGTTTGAATCAGTTCTGCCAGTTCTTATCCACATCTTTGGTCACTTCCTTAAGTATTCCGAACCCACTTCCTCATCTGAAAAATGTCATCCCAACAACACTGGCTGGTCCGAGGGTTGTGTGAATCAGTATGTAGAGCATGTTTAGAGCCTGGCACAGATGGGTCGTTAGTAAGCGCTGGTTTTCCGCCTTCTCGGGAGTATTACAGCCGTTCACTGATCCATTGTGTGTCATGTGTCTGGTCTAATTTACTTCCCGAAGTACTGAACCGAGAAACATACAGGGTACAAGCGCCCTTCCTTTAAAGCTCTCTTATTGCAGTGGGTGGATTAGAACAGAACTGTGTGCTAAATGCTGGAGAGGTGTGGGCAGAGTATGTGGAAGTGCCAGAGTGGGTCAGACTCAGACTCACTCAGGAATGGCCTGATTAAGGGGTTTCGCTTCAAAAGGGAGGCTGGGCTCAACCCGCCCAGGAGACGTTTGCATTTTTAAAACAGAAGAGAATTTATACCTCGGAAGAGAATTTATACCTCGTAGGGATGAATTGGAGACCTACGCCTTCCCTCGCTGTGTTTTTGCCTGCCCTTCCTCCCACCTCTTCCTCCCACCTCTTCCTGCCCTCTCCCGCTTTCTCGAGGGAAGTAGATGCCCACACCTGCACCACACGCAGGAATTTCCCAACTGAGCCTTTACTTAGGGAGAATGTGGAGAGGTTGACCTGCAGAGCTGTGAATTATGGCCCAGAGATGTAAAGGGGCTTCTGTCAGTATTGCTAGCAATCTAAGATCTTTTAATTTCTTTTTTAATCTGAAGATTTCTTTTGTTTATGAAATGTCAGCTTATATTGCTTAGATTTTTAAATAAGTATAGAGGAGTTACTTGAGGTACTCAATTCATATATGTGTATGAGGTTCTTATTAAGAACTGTTTTCCTTTGTTTGCATCAGTAGCAAAACCTAGAGGTTTTATTTGATGTCTGAAATGCCCTAGTTGTTCCAGAATTGGACTGTGGTTAATGGACCATAATAACAGCAAGTTTCCTACGGCTAAAAATATTGAGGAGAGAATATCAGTGAAAGAGTGAAAGCATAACTTTGTCAGCAGTGGTTAGATATGCAAATACTGAGGGTTAGACCTGGAAATAAATATGTTTGGCATAAAATTGAAAAAAACCTGTCAAAGAACTATTTGAAACAGCACTAAGGATACTTTTTCATTCAAAGAGTGTTTTTTGGTGCATTGTAACTTTCAGCTTCCAATAAATTACTGTTCTGCCTGTGTAACATTTTAATTCTTTTCTTTCTTTCTTTCTTTTTTTTTCATTTTCAGCTTATGGAAAAGTATTTCTAGTTCGTAAAATAAGTGGTCACGATACTGGAAAGCTGTATGCCATGAAAGTTTTGAAAAAGGCAACAATAGTTCAAAAGGCCAAAACCACAGAACACACGAGGACAGAACGACAAGTCCTAGAGCACATAAGGCAGTCACCATTTTTGGTGACATTGCACTATGCCTTCCAGACAGAAACGAAACTTCATCTCATTTTAGGTAAGTGTCAGCTATCGTCAGACTTTTTATGGAAACATTTTTTTGGGGTGTGAGGGTCTTGAGTTACTGTAATGCACTGAAAGGGTACCATACTTCGAACTTAGGGGAAATGCAATATTTTGACTTTCATTTTTCTGTTTGGGGTGGCATTTCCTTGACTATCATGAGTTGCCCTGAATTTGGGACCTCCCAACCTGAAGCAATTTATATGTTTCTATGCCACACTCCGTTATTAATCTTAAATCCTTGAGTCGTCTGCTTCGCTGGGCAGTGTGCTTCCATTCAAACGTGAGGAGCTGAATAGTGAAGTGGCCCCAGTTTCTGCTGTAGGAGTTCTCAGGCATGTACAGATTTGGGCTGACAGCGGGATATTTATGGAAATCAGTAATTGGGAAAAATACAAAAGAGATAAAAGACTTCTATTCTCAGAGATGCTTTACTTTTCTAGTGACAAACCTGCATACCCACCCATCAGTCAACCCTTTGATCACTCCCATGTCTACCCACAGGCACTTTCTGAATTCTTTCCTTTCCCAAATAGACTTGAACCATGTTATATGAACCTTGGAAATGTCCTCTGCGCGTATCTCCAGATTGCTTTGCAGAAAAACCACACCATTTTCTGTTCCTACTAGAAGTACATGGCAGTACTTGAAGTATTGCATTCTGCCATCACTGACTATTTCATCTGTTACAATTTCAGTCCCATTATTGTAATAATTTGCATTTATATATTATGACCCCCGTTATCAAGCTATTCTGAGGACTAGATGAGATAGAATTTCACATAGTGCTCTGTAAGCTGTAGCGATTTCTTGAGTGCCTGCCGTATGCCAGTGCTGCTTTCGGTATTATCCATAATACTACTAACCTTCAGAGTAGTGCTGCCAGAATCCCCTCATTAGTGCTGCCGAAGGTTCTGGAAGCTGCATTTCTTGATGTTACATATTTTGTGTAAGCATGAGAATGAAGACTGGAACTCAGGCCTGACTCATATCAAAGTTTGCCGAACCGTGCTGCCTGTATTCTTTTATTATTGGTGGTTCAAACAGGGTTCTAAATATATATTTGGCAATTTTATTGAATGCTCTCATTTTGGATATTATACTCAGTGATGTCTAAAATCGCCTTCACCTTTTGAGTCATGAAGTTACACTTCAGGTTCATTTTCAATGCTCACCACCAGCTAACACTGCTCAGTCTTTTCTGCATGCATGCCTGTCCTGTCAGTGTCCCCGCTAGTGTTACCTCTGCTGGTTCCAGCAAGTCAGCACGATTTGGCCCTTTATTCTGCCTCCTGTGTGTATCTGCTCGGCTATATTATTAGATTTTCTGATTTTTAAACATGTGTTCCTTCAGAATTTTTACCCAGCAGGTTGTAGGGGACAGAACATTTTAATACAGTGGTTTCAAACATGTTGAGCAGCAGAGGGCTTCCCTCAAGTGAAAACTCAAGCATTCAAATGGAAAACAAGTAGAACCCAGGAGCTCTGCTCAAATCGGGACTGAAGGGCACCAAACCTTACCAGCTCATTTCTGTTCCTCACCCCACCAAAATTTGCACGGAAGCCCTAGGGAGTCCAGGAAGAGTGGCTGAGACATGATTATCTGGTGTAAGCTTCTTCCTTTACAGTGAAGCAGCTCATAAAAATTAAGTCATGCGCCTGAGATCATACAGCTAGTACGAGCCAGAAGCACTGCGAGCCCCAACTCCTGACCTCGGCACACCACACCACAGCTTCTCTTTTCCGTTCTCTGACCTAACTGTGCTCACCTTTTCTTAAAGTTGTTTATTGTAAATAGTGTGGGTTTTGTTAGCTACTATTTTTAATTTAAAAGTAGGTGAGTGAAATATTTTCCATTTGATTAAAACACAATAGTCCTTGATAATGTTGATTTTCCAGTTGTTTCTACATTATTTTTATTCTTTGTCAGTGGCCCATAAATAAACAAATACAAAACATAGCAAAACAAGAAAACTCATTTCTTGTGACAGCTGAAGTGTAGAATGTGGACTAGACAGCATATTCCATCATGCATGAGGCGGTACATTTAGAAAGGATGCCCTCTACCTCCTCTCCACATAGAATTAATATAATTTCCCTTTGTGCATGTTTATAGTTATTTGACTTCAAAGGGAAAACTTTGCAGAAATCTAGAACAGGACTTTATTTTAAAATCCATTTTTATGGTTCAATTTTTTTTGTTTGCAACGCTTAGAATGCACACCAGGTCAGCTTTCCAAATCCTGTGCTATATAGTTAGACCCTGTCTTACTTAGTCTGCTAGGAGGGCTGCCATAACAAAATATCACAGACTGGGCGGCTTAAACTACAGAAATGTATTTCTCGCAATCCTGGCAGCTGGAAGTCCAAGTTCATGGTGCCAACAGGGTTGGTTTCTCCTGAGGGCCGTAAGGAAAGGGTCTGTTCCAGGCCCTTCTTGTCTTGCAGATGGCCACCCTCTTGCTGTCTTTTCACATGGTCGCCCCTCTGTGCATTCACACCCCTGTTGTTGCTTTTTGTGTTAAAATTTCCTCTTCTTACAAGAGCGCCAGTCAGATCAGATTAGGGCCCACCCTAACCTCCTCATTTTAATAACTTAATCGCCTCTTTAAACGCCCTGTCTCCAAAGATATCACATCCTGAGGTACTAGGGGTTAGGGCTTCAATATACGAGTTTTGGGGGAACACAGTTCAACTCATAACTGTCTCACTGTCTCTAAAGATTTTTTAACTAACTTGATTCAATTTTTTTGTACTATTAGAGGTTAGTTAATGGCAAGAATTTACATGTTGAGCTCTTCAGAGACCCAGTTGACCTTTTTGTCTGATGAATAAGTAAACTCTACAAATGTTTTAAAAAAATATTTTAGAAAACTATTTTTATTACTACAAAAGCATATATAGTACATGCATATAGAAACTATAGAAAAGCAAAAATAAGAAAAGAAAAACTTATTTTCACTACTCAGAGTTTACCTCATTGTACATCCATAATTACTTGGCATTTATCCTTCCAGACCTTTCTGTCTGAGTGTCTGCATTCATGTATGTTTTGTTAAAACGAGGTTGTACTGTGCATACAATTTGGAGCCAGATTTTTTTTCCCAGTTAATGATGTCAGTCTTTCCTGGTTAATAAATTTTCATTTTATTTAATACCCAATGGTACAAGTTATTTTTTGCTGGACAACAAACCACTCTATAATTTAGTCATTTAGACAGTGACTTATTGTCTCATGATTCTGTGGGTTTGCCAGGGAGATGTCTGCTGGTTTCGCCTAGGCTCCATCATGTGGTGGTCAGCTGGAGAGTTGGCTGGTTTCGAAGGGCCAAGATGGTTTCACTCTTGTGTCCGACAGTTGGTGCTGGCTGTTAGCTAGGGCATCTCCCTTCTCCTCCACAAGGCCTCTTATCCTGCAATGCAGTAGGTCAGCTTCTTCAGAGCACGGCGGTCTCCAAGCAGCTCGTGAAGACTGCCACCAGGGCCGGGGCCGAGGCTGCACATCCTCCGGAGGCCAGGCTCTGGAACGCACTCAGCCTCGCTCCCAACACAAGACCAGCCCCATTTATTGGGGAGGGAAATAAGACCTCACTTTTCACCTTTTTAAAATTGAAGTATAATATACATACATTATTTTAGTTTCAAGTGTACCACATAATGAGTTGCTATTTGTATATATTGAAAAATCACCACAGTAAGTCCAGTTAACATCTGTCACCATACACTGTTATAGGATTTTTGTTGCTGCTGTTTGTGATGAGAACTTTGAGGATTTACTCTCTCAGGATTTTCGAATACACGGTATTATTAACTGTAGTCACCATGCTGTACATTACATACCCAGAACTTAATTATTTTATAACTGATTTGTACCTTTTGACTCCCTTCACCCGTTTTGCCTATCCCCTACCCGCCCCGACAGCTATGGCAACCACCAATCTGTTCTCAGTATCTATGAGCTCAGCCTTTTTGTTTTGTTTTGTTAGATTCCACAAATAAGTGAGATGATACTGTATTTGTCTTTTCTCTGTCTGACTTATTTCACTTAACATAGTGCCCTCAAGGTCCATCCACGTTGTCGCAAATGGCAAGATTTCATTCTTTTTCAGGGATAATAATATTCCTGTGTGTGTATATGTGTGTGTGTGCGCGCGTACACACATCATACTGTCTTTATTCATTCATCATTGGGCACTTAGGTTGTTTCTGAGGCTGCCACAGCATGCTGTTTAGTGTGGGTGAGTTCCCTGTCGCTAAGTTTGGCTAAGAGTGTAGGTCAGTGGAGATTTACAATCACTCTGCTGTTCTTTAAGATATTTTGGGAGCAGATGTGGAGATTCAGTTCCATGTTGCTGTCACGCTCCTACTAGGACTTACGGCTTTTAGACTGGAGGTTTTTAGACCAGGCTTGTCCCTTGAGGAAAAAATTTGCCTGATTGGCACAGGCTTCTCTAAAGGATAAGAGTAGTATAATGTTAGTGTTTTCGTGACAGATACTTACCTTTGACATTTGCCAGATAATGGAATATAGCATTTCTGTCAGGACTGACTGTGTATGATTGTTTTCTACGATATGCTTTGTTTAGCTGTAATTGCCTTCCATTCGTTCATATTGTTTCTGCCAGCCTCTAAATCGGGGTCAGCAGCAGTGGATTGGATTTGTCCTCTGGGCTGTATTTCATTGACCCCTCCTGCAAACCCATGTTAAAAGTCACATTAAAAAAAATTCTAAATCTTTAATATATTTTTAGGCTCTGTTTTACTTTAGATCTAATGGTATCATGTGAATTTATTGCATTTTCCCCTTTATGCTTTTTTTAGCCTTTTCAAATCTTATAACATGGAGACCATACCTCTTTTTATAACTTCTGTACCTCTGTATGGTTACAACAAGAAATATAAAAATATTTTCATCTATTCTATTCTCTTAAAAATTGTATTCATTTCAACTAACAATGGGAAGGAATTCTATGTGGAAAATAATCTGTAAAAAAC